CGGCATTTATAAAGCGTCTCAGAATAGACGCCATTATAATGACAAACAACTTAAACGAGGATGTTGTTAAAATTTGATTTAACATAATGGTTTCAAGTCCATAATCCGCGTGAAACGGAAGACTTTTAAGGATAACACTGACCCTTTAAAGTACCTACTAACAGAATTATAAATAGTGAAAAAATAAAATAGAAAAGAACCGCTTTCTTTTATCCAACGCAGTGTATTGAAAGTATGTTTCGGAACACGTTGAAGGATACAATTAAGAATTTGAAACTGAAACGAGGGCTTTCGGAAGTCATGTTTTAAAATGAGTTTTATTTTTAATGAAATAATTTACGTTAATTTCTCCTTTATCTCAAAGATCTCATTATTGGTTGTCAATAGTTTGTAGAAAGCCATCTTAACATAATATTTCTAAAACATTTGCTCTTATTTCATACTGAATACTAAAAAAGCAAGAAAATTCAATTTAGTTCTAAGAAATTGATCCCATTTTAACACGGGGCTTAATGCACAAAATGACCATTTTCTGTAGGCCTCGGAGACTTAAATTATAACGATCCCTTTGGTTGTGCAAGAATAAGAACAAGAGCAGTGCGAGGGTTCTTTTTAGACTGGAGCTTACATGAGTCGACTACAGAAATAGATTGCGTTGCAATAATTATATCAGCGTATGACGCTTTGTTGACCGCGGTAAAGTTATCGCGTGGTCGTTACTTTAGCACTTTTATTTACTTAGCGGGGATGTTATTGGAAGATTTGCTTCGGGGACAATGGGTCAATGACGTGCAAGGACGGCGTTCATAAAAATTTCAATCGAATCATTAAAATGCGACGCAACTTTTGTAGGTCTAATAAATAAAAATATTCCGTTCTAACTTCAATATAAGTTAAAAAAATAAATAAAAACTATTTATTCAACTTCCGCTGCGAGACATAAATACTATTTTGAATTATTGATGGATTGGATCTATATTTTTTATGACATTATGGCTAGCATTTGATGCTTTCCCACGTGATGGATGGCATAGGAAGCAGACGGTAAACGCACTTGCTTATTAAAATAGTTAACTCATGTATATCTTTTAATAGATCTATTTATTTACAATAAGCCATGACATTCAGCGACAAAAAGAAGCTGATTATGAGCTCAGTGGCGTGCATTTTCAGCGTTTCAGCGTTTTATTTACCAATATTTTACATTCAATAAAATAATTATATTTCAGAAGTACCCTACTAATACGTAACTCTGATTGTTTAGATATAAGGATCTATAACTTGTAATGAATATTATTACATATTTGTTCAACTACGTTTTTCCAGTTTATGTATCGAATTATGACACCTGACAAAATAATAAAATAATTAATGTAATAGTACTGAAAATTAATGAATAATAAAATCTACTGCTCATTTAGCGATCAAAATTGTTGAAGAAGCATAGTCGGTAGAAGCATACCAGGTGTCTAAGCGTAGATGCAATTAAGTGACGTACGCAGCTTGCCCGGAAAATTGATAATAATAAAATGTGGTGAAAGTTTATGAAGAGACTGAAGATGGGGGCGCACGGATCTAAGGAGAAACTTTACCGGGCCAATTCCGAGAAATATCCGTCAAAGCTGCCGGTCCCCAACGAAAAGAAGTACAAAGTAGCCGTAAACCGGGAGAGATTCGGATCTTTTGGCGCGAGAGGTGAGTTGGATTTGGAGAACTTTAAAAGAGTTGACCTGGGTTGCAATAACGAAAAAAGCAATAGCGATAAAAAAAATACTAAAGGACGTGCAGGACTTTCTCGCATATTGAATCGTATTACAAGTTGAAAATCAACTTTTACTTAGTTACTAGTTTTACAGTTTTACTAATATAATATTAAGTAAAATGTGTTTATACGCTATTTGTATAAAACGTATTGTTACATGAAGTATAGAGAAAAGAGAGTGGATTAATTAATAACAATATTTGTAATTACCATGTGATGTTTACATATATTGTTATTTAATGTTAAGCTAGAATGTCATGCCAAGGTTTGGTATGCACACGCGTCTGTACAGAACACTGTATCTGTATAGATATATACTTTGTTTCACTCTTATTCGCGCCCACTTGTTCTTACCCTGCGACCTTCCATTGTTCAATAAAACAAATACCAGTTTGGTATAATGCGACGCGGTCACGGATCGAAACAATGCTCTATCGCTGAATAAGATTAATTATACGGAGGACGTATCCGAAAATTTAAAAAACTAACCTAAATATGACATTGTATAATATCGTTCCAGTTCTTACGGTCGAAGATGATCTGCACCAAAATAAACTTGTCAGGAAGACATCCAAAAGTTGCACTGGCACTTTTTATTTTGAGACGAAAATAAAAGTCGCTAGACGGTCGTCACTGCCGGAGGTTAATTTTAACATTTCAACATTTATTTGTTGCCCACTTATTTTGGGAGGCAATGAATCCATTAATAAAGCATGTTTAATTAATTTTGGGTGGGAATTTGGTTAACAGACGTGAGTCATTGTTGTTAAGGAGATTGTTGAAAAAAAATGTTCGGCTCGACGTTATTTAAATGATCTTTTAATAATAATTAAATCATTATTGCCACATTCTTTTAACGGTTCTAATTCAAATTTTATGGTATATTGTGGTATGTAGCGGTCAAAAACAATGTGTTGAATCTTTCTCTTTCTATTTGAATTGTGTTCACACGCGTAATTTTCTTTTCATGCTTTTGTTTTCCTGCGGCTTAGGACAGTTATAACCTTTTTATGTTCGAACAAGCCTCCGTCAGCCGCGTTGACCGCCAAACGATATAAAATTTTATGTAAAAGATATCCTTAATCAAAATCAGAGGAAAAGCAGCTATAGTAGCACTGTTTTTAAAAATAGTCGGGTTTCATAACTTTGGGAAATGTACGAATTTATAATATTTTTAATTTAAACAATAGAGAATATAATCATATGAAATGAGGTTGTTTTATGTATTATGTCATAAAATATTCTTCTTTTTATGACATATATTTTATATACAATTTCTTATTATTACCTTAGTTTTTCTTTCTTAATTAAATTGAACGTGAGCGGTATAAAATTACCCTTAAATACATGACTTGTCGTATGACGTATAGATGTAAGAAACGAATAATATTTGAAAGGATCGCAGAAAGTATCCACCGAGTGACCAGCGTGTGTTAATGTGTTTATTTATACGTTAATAATCTTGTACATCGTAAGTTCATTCTTTTTCACATCTCTCGGCTACTGAAGTAATCCTCTATCAAGTTTCGTTAGAGCATCCTCTGTCATTTATATAATTTGTCATAAATACTGTACGCCGAAAAAGATTTAATGGCTATTGGTTCCAAACAACTTATAACAAAAGCTTTATGCTATATATGAAATATTTTGAATAATTAAACTATATACAATGGATATTATGCGATAGATCAACGCAGTCTTAACTTTTAATTGCGTCTGTGCGCTTTTGCGTGCAAGCTTTATTTATGTCTTAGCAATATCGCAGTTGTGCCGAGATATTCTTAGTGCGCGGTTAACTTTGTCGCGCTGTTAAGGTATTGAAACTGGCACTAACACATTCTGATAATTGAATTTCGAGTTATTGCATCGGAGACTAGTCATTTGTAATAAATATAAAAAACGTCTCTCACATCAGTTATAAAATTGTCATTAATAACTTGAATTTCACATTTGATATTCTTCTTTTTACGATGATCCAGTTCGAGTACAATTAAGAATAAATTTTAAAAAATCGTAACCAAATTGAAGAAGGTCAATTAAATAATGCGCGTTCTATCTTTTTACGCACCGTTGTTACTATTCCTTCACAATGCTCTGGCTTTTTATACGTTTTCTGTTTACGGAGCAAGCTTATTCTTGGCCCGCGACATACATATAAAGGATGGTATTCAAACTATTAACGACTGCAAGCACACGTGAGGCATGCGCCTACTTGCAAATGGAAACCTTATAAAGCGAGAATCTATGTTAAGATTCACGTGCTCTCAAAGCATGCATTTTAATTAGAACGCCCATTTTTATTGTTGTTAGCGTTTCATGGACACGATCAATGCTCAAAGGCTACAATAAAATCGACGGCATTGCGCGAAAATCCGTTTTGAAGAAATTTGATTCCAAAACGCAACCCAATCATCATGAGGACTTAAACTTTTCGCTACCCGATCTTACTTCATTCATTTTGGATTAGAAACGTTGCATTGAAATACTTTTTAATATGTTTTTATTATTAAAATAACAATAAGTAACTCGAACATTAACATCACTTTTTTACTAAAGGGAGATCAACAAAGCAGTACTAATATAGTGTTTCGTAACAATGTTCCAGATATTAACTTCGCGCGGCAACACTGGAAAAAGGCTAAGAGTGAAGTTGTAGAACTGTATTAAATCTTCCCACGAGTGTTTCGTGCATAGTTATATGTATTTGATATTTTCATAAATGCAGTAGAATAGGCCGTCATAGACGCTTCAGGTCTGCGGACAATGAACTTGAAAATCCATAAAAATTCTTCTTACTTTAGAATTTATGGCGTTTATTTCTGAGCCGCTCTTCTTTTCAAGATATTGTAAAGGTATTCTTTACTTAAGATAAATTCCTGGTGTATTAACGATACCTTTTTGCCATCGTATAAATTTCTGTTCTCAACTAAATAGCAGTTGGTATTTTTGGTAGCTAAAATTTTGTGTGATCGTGTTGGTGAATTACACAGAAATCCAATTATATCTAGTTTTCACGAAGTATGGAACATGGCGGTGACCATAAATGTAGTGTTTGAAACGCCGGTAATTCGAAAGGGAGTATTACGTGATAAGATCGCCAAAGTAGTTTATTAAAAGACACAGAAATGTTTTTGATTTACGTTAACGCCATAAAATTCGTAAAATGTTTTATTCACTCGTACTGAAACATTTCTGATTTACGCATTATGTTATAATGCGACATATCCTTCTGTTTCAGGGAATGGCAAGAAGCGAGATAGTGTCCCGACGCCGACGACCCCCAGCCGCCCTCCAGCCACGCCGCCCCAACCCCCGACCGTACAGGGTGAGTCATACAATGCGACGTTTTTAGTCAAAGCTAAATAGGCAAATCAATATAAGCATCTAGAATGTCGAGAGGGCTAATGCGTGCCAACATTTTAATAATGCATTGCACCAAACTGTATTTCTTTGATTAAAAATTATCTTTTCGTATTTTGGTTTTCATATTGAAAATATTATTGTCACATATAATATGTAATATGTGACAATAATATTTTTGTGGTTAGTTATAAGCGGTTCAAATTTCTTTATCATCATATTACAGATGATTTCGCTTTAACTCCGTAGACTATGTACTTACTTCATCAATAGCTCATGGGATAGATTCCACGAGCTTAATATGGCCATCCAAGTAGATTAAAACCGTTCACATAAAACTTTGTGATTATTGACGCCCGTGCAGGTGTTATCAACCTTTAAAAGAGTCTAACTCAAAGGATTTAATGCAAAAGAACAACTACTTCTACTTTACGACGGTTTCCTGGTCATATGGGCCCGAAGCAGAAGCTGATTCGTGGCTCTATTATGGTATATTTAATACAAATAAAGCGCACCCACCACGGAATACAACCGTTTTTAAGTAAAGTATTAGCTTATATACATATGTCCCACTACTGGGCAGGCCCAGTAGGCCCCCTCTATACAGACGGTATTAGGGCATAGTCCACCCCTTTGCGGATTGGCGGACTTCACATATCTTCGAAATATTTTTCTTTTTGTTTCGAAAATATTCATGTATTCTCTAATGTGCTATTAGACATTAGAATAACGCTATTTACTGATGATTTATTAATTATATATTTTTTATGTAGTAGAAAAATGTATGCAGTTTCCAAAATCGTGTAACAAATAGTGTATTCAACGCATTGAGACACGGTTTTCAAAACTTTTTTTATAAAACACTTTCATTTCGGATTGTGTAACAGTCTGTTATAAGATATATAATCAATACGAACACATTTAAATTATCGTAAGTGTAATCGCCTTATTTGGGACGTTATTTATTTTACTACCAATGAATATATTATATAAGAATGTGTTTCATCGCAATTATTAAATAATACATGAAAACTATGACGGAATTATAGTTCTATAATAATTTTAAAATGAAATTAGTGGGTTTTTATATTTGATTTGTTATTGATGGTATTTCTGCTTTCGAGTTTTAACTGCAAATTGTTGCAAGTCATTTCTGTCTAGAAAAGCTAATTCTGGTTCAGCGTTGAACACTGGTGCACCATAGAACAATTCACAGACACACAGACGGGGAATTTTATCATAAAAAACTAGGTACCTACTTACTCTAATTTGCCTCAAATGAAATGTAGTAAATACTTTAAATACTTGCTATAGCTTCTACCAGATGACGCTGGATTCCAAACGTTGATTAGTGAATTTAGACGACTGGCGTCAACCTGCTTTCTTAGCGGGTCTACCAATTTATTTGAAGTCTAAGCTTCTATTAGTGTCCTTGGTTTATGTGACCTTTATACAAACACCATGAATATGTTGCCATATTATCAGACTTATACTTGATGGCAACGATGCTCCTTTTGCCACGAACAACTTCGACAGTCGCTATGCCCTATTTATATGGAAACGTCGTTAATCAAACGACCGGGTGCATGTCGTTTCATAACAATACGTTACGCAACTGTTAAGTGTACGTAGACAATAGTGCCGGCACGAGACTTGTCCTTTGGAAAGTGTGTCAAAAGGTAGGTAGTTCGCTGAGCCACAGTTTGTTTTGAAAAATGATTGTAAAATATCTATATTGACTTTCAAATATCTTTCGCGATCCAAATTATGGATGTTTTTCACGGCCAGACAAGCAGTCACCCAGAATTGACCACATTATAAAATTCAGAATGCTGTCCCAGTAATTCCACATGTAATTTAATATTCTAGGATAAAACGCAAGTAAATATTTGATGGATATTATCCATTGACGATAACCACCAATCAAAAACAGTGTTGTCAAAGAATAAAAATACTTACTATCAGTCAAGTATGCGACTACATATACTCTGTGATGGGTGGATAGCATAAGTTCTGTTTACCTCGTAAGGATTACAAGACGTGAGTTGTTTTACTTAGTGAAATTTGAAGAGCAAACGGATTTGATGTCTTGTATAACATGTAATAAAACCGTTCCTTCGTTCTCACTTTCACTAACACGCTGCATAGTTACGGAGTTCGATATCAAACTACATGTGTATAACAGCGTATCGTTTTTCATTGTATTAAGTTCCCACTGAACTTCTTTTTTGTGGAAAACAATGCTTCTGTGTTCGGGCTCGTCTGTAAAACTGGTCGCGAGCCTTGCGTTAAAATGTCCACTTTTAGGTAACTGATTTCGATCTTTAATGAAACCGTTTATGGTAATGGCTTCGGTAATTTATATGAGGACAGATTATTATCGGTGATTTTTTGATTTTATAGGTCGAGTATTACAATTATCTGCAGGGCATTATAGTTACAAAATATATTCCCTGAATCTGGCAAGTTCAATCTGGGCAGGTGGACTCTTTAACGAGCTGCTTAATTCGATATTACTGCTTAAAGTTTTTTTACAAGCTGGTTTTAATTTATATTCGTTTATAGAGGAAAGAAATAAGTTTGTATAAGTGATGATAATAAAGCTGAAAAGTCTGTTTGTTTGTTTGTCTGAACGCGCTAGACTCTGGAACTAACAGTCGGATTTGAAGAAATCTTTTGGCTTTTGATAGCCCAATTTTTGAGGAAGTTTAAAAAGTATTTAACATTACCTGCGGAGGCGAAGTAGAAACGTTTATAGCGGATAAAATCGCATGGAACAGAGAGTAACTAATAAAATTGTGTAATGAATTCTTAAATGAATTGAAAAAGATTCTTGTTGGTTTGGGCATTTTATATAGCTTAGAAAGCTTAGATTACCCAAAATTTTGTATTGCACATTCAAAGAAATTAAATACGTATCAACTTACTTGAATCTTTAAAAATAAATGATTGAGGTCCAAATACTCCATTGGATTAAGTCTAGAAAATGTTCATGAAGTTATTTACAAAGCCCACTTAAAAACTTTAAATTAATTAAATCTTCTAATTTCCAGCCAAGAAAAATGGTGTGGTGCAGAAACTGTCGTCGTCACCGGTGGCGGTTCGGGCGCGGAGCTCTCTTGCGCCACCCCCATCACCTCGGAAACCGCCCGCGCATCGCGTACCAGCACAGAGGCCCAATACATTGACCACCACTAAAGGTACGCTATTGTAATCCTTGTCACAATTTCTAGGTAGAAACAGTGATTTTTTAGCCTGGTAGGCATTAAAATGAGTGCTGCCATCTATGAAGTATTAATAAAGTTATTTGAGTTTGTTCTATCACACGTCAATAGATGGCGCTGTATTGACATTTTTATCAATAAAATTGTTTCCATTTGATCTAAATATACTGGTGTTTAATAATAACGACTAAATACTAAGGATGTAAACCTTTTTTTTTTAAGTGGCATTTTACAATTTTATTTCAATATGTTTGTGAGTAAGTTTAGTTTTCGTTGTCACACAAACTTCTGAATTATTTTTATTTGTTCGTAGCGAATCTTGTACATCATTAATATCTTATTTATTCTGCCTGAAAATACATTACACACAGCGTACATTGTACGTATGTATTTCATGTACGATATCGCTACTGTCGATTATGTCGTTTTTTGTATGAATCAGTGCGCACAATCGGTGCGGTCGATGATCACCAGACGTTGAAAGTCGTTCAATTGCTCGTGCCTTACTGAATTACTGAATTATTGACTCAGGATATTGACCGAATTGCTCCTAGCGTCATTCATATTCGCTCGTTAACTCGTTCGTACAACATTGATAGAGCTAGTGGTTAAGTAGTAGTAGTATTAAGGTGTGTATGTGTGTGTGTAAGGTGTGAAATTAAAAATTATTTCTGAACCTCTCGTACATACACGTTACTGTGGCAGGCTACACAGCGTTCTTCGATGGTGCGCGAATAGAAGTTTATCGTCATCAGTTGAAGTAATATACTTTCGCCTTACGTCTGTTTAACACAACCATGGCACTTTTAAATAAGTTGCTAATACATTTGCAACACACCAGGTATGGTAGATGTCCATGGGCGGCGGTAGCCACTTAACATCAGGTGAACCATCTGCTCGCTTTTCATCTTTTTACATTAAAAACTACCACTTTCATATCATCATATAATTTTTATTATTCAACTTGCTATTTTAATGGAACTAGGTGGGCGAGCTAGCGGTTCTTTTGATGTTACATTATTACCTAACCGCCGCCCATGGACTTAGAACCTGTGAGGTTGCTGATGTGTAGCCATGATATGAAAAAAGGTATTCCGTTTACCTTACCACTAGACGAAATGCAAAAGTTTTTCCCCAGACGAGCCTGCCAATTTGTGCAACAGAAAAAGCTGCTCTAAGTTGGCTGCTTGTCTCTACCATACTAGAAAAATATAAAATATACATTTAAGTTCATAGGATTTTTTTGCTAGAGTTGATCCATTGGCCTTGGTTGTTAGGCCCTTATAGATCTGCCAGGCTTGAGGTGGCCCCTGAGGGCGCCTAGCCTGTACCTTGATTGAATATGGTTTATTTTGTCTGTAACCCAAGACTTCAGAAGTTGTATATAACTTTCATCGTCTCTTTTCCGACAAGAAAATTTAGATAATTCTTACCTACCTATATTTAAGCAGTGAATCTTATTTACCGTGATGTATTTAATTTATATAACCAAATAACCGACCACCTACCAAATAATTAACTAAGAAATATTGAGTTATTTTTCGCGATACGTAACCATTGTTAGGATCCAAAATTTGTCAGAACTTTATACACTTAAAGGCGCTACGGAAAAAAACATTTTTTTCCCCCCTAACAGTCTATGTATCAAAAACTCACATTTAAAACATAAAGTAAAATGCTGATAAAATTGTTGAGAGAAATATCAAGTGTCTAAAAATAGCATAATCACAGATATTAATTAAATATTAATAAAAAAAACTCAATGTACTAAAAATATCGGCTGGGGATTCAGTTATCTTTTTAATATGTCTGGCTTGTTTATCGTGCAATTAGTGTTATAATATTATAAAATCAAGTCCCGAGATAAATAATATGTCTAGTCTATTATTATATTATATCTAGTGTTAAAATATTTTGAAAATATAAAATATATATAAAACATATCATATATACTTTATAGATTTAAAAATGTCACATTTCTGTGCTAAGAGTTAAGCTACCAATTATAAATTATATTATTATTATATAATTTAAATCTTATAATATTATAGAATATTAAAATAATATACAAAAATGGGTTTTACAGAGGTCAAATATTATAAAACCAAATGATATCAAAAGTTTAACGTCACCAACATGAATGAGAAAACAAGTGTCGGTGACGCGAACATAGTTTTGCCCATATAGTATTCAACCGATTTCAAAAAAGGAGGAGGTGTAATTCGACTGTAATTTTTCTTTATGTTTGTTACCTCAGAACTTTCGTCTGAGTTAAGCGATTTTGATGATTCTTTTTTATTTGAAAGTTGGTGCCTCCAATGTGGTCCCATATTAATTTCATTGGTATTGGATTTTGGGCTCCGGAGATACTTAGGGAACACCTGAAAATCAATTATGAAATTAATACATAGCGAGATATTTGATTTCGGTATTGTTTTTTGTTAATAAAAAAATTGACCATAGATAATAAATTTACTCTATTTTATTTGGCGTCAATAGCGTTCCGTCATTATGTGCTCAACCTTTAAAATGATGTTAAAATCATTAATTTCGAGTTAGAATTATGGGAGACATGGCGTTGACTTTGTCAAATTATGTACATATATGTTATTAAACCTTAGTGGTTAAGTTGTTACGTTCACTCATATATTATTTTGCTAGTACATATAAGTTTATAAATGGTTAAGACGTGTATAACAGAATGTATTTTATAATATAGACAATCCGTCTATATCTTCAAGGATAAAATACGTTAAGTAGATTAATTTAGTATCAATGTATAATAATGAAAGCAGCAGTGCTTCATTGTTATTTCTGATCGTATGCGAGCAGCTATCCTTTCATTATAAAATTGAACTGAACCGTAACACAATGTTAATGGCTATAGACATCTACCACACCTATGGACTTGCAGATGCTTTCACAACCTTTAGAAAATTTGGATCCCGGTTTCTTCACTCACCAGACGAAACGCGAAAGTGTTATACTTCCATTTCACGTTGGTCTCCTGTGATAACTTATTTTGTTTTGTTTATTTATAGAAGGATATTAAAAAATCCTCTAGGGGTCTTTAGGCCCACACCATTATGATATAGTTTCGGGGGATAAAGTTAAATGGTTGAATTTTAAGTGAAATGTGTGAATAGATGTCGTCCGATTCTCCGCCCTGGCCGATATGCACACAAAATTTCACGAAAATCGGTCGAGCTGTTTCGGAGGAGTTCAATTACAAACACCGTGACACGAGAATTTTATATGTATATAGAAGATGTGAGTCGAGCGTTAACAAATTAATTTATAACGTTTTTGAGTTTTTTAGGTTCTTTACAATTTTAAATCGCATATAAAATTCTTATATTATCTTTAGTTAAATAACTGCTGTTAGTTATAAAAATGTAAAATAAATGTAAAAAGGATAGGTTTGGCGTTATCAAGATGAAAGATATCCCTGATGAGAAGATTTCTCTTTCTGTTGGTCAATTCCGGCCGTTTTTCTAAATTTCTTACTTGAACCTTATCAGTTGTTGGCAATCAATAAGAATCGATGGTTTTGCCCAGCAATAAAAGTTCGTAATGAACGATGGCCTTCCAATCCCACCATACACACAACATCACTTTATTGTATCAAAATTCCCGGACTGAAAAAACTTGTACCAACTCTTTGTATTCTGTACTATTACTCTATGTATACGCTATATATTAGTTACTGACACTATTCTAGACAAAGGACCCACATATTTTTCGTTTCGTGTTGCAATTTTCCCTTTCTTTTAACAAAACTTCTAAATGTATCGAACTCCTTCGTTAGATTCACTCACTTTGGTGGACAGAGAAACTATTGAGGAATGGCGGGAAATTGTTTTTGAAGTTATACTTCTTTTGGCGCGTTTGGAAAAAACTAGGGGAATAAAATTTTTACGATGTGCGCGCACACAGAGTCAAAAAGTGACACGATGAAGTTGTTTGCAAAGCGACCGACTCCTGTTACCATGGCAACCACTTATTTCAACCCCCGACTTGTTATTATCTCACGGGACAGAGTTTTTTTTTTTAATTTTAGGCACATAAGTTCATTGACGTAGATCATCATCATCATCATCCTCCTGTTGTCCTCATCCCACCTAGGTGGTCGGCACAACATGTGAATCATGTTGTAAGCGGTTTTGGCAATGTTTTTAACGACCGGCCTGACGTCAACCCTCCTTGGGAAACAAACACCCAAATCCGGATCAATTAATTATCTGTGGTTCACACAAATACTTGTTCTGTGTGGGGATCGCCACGACTCCTGACGCCAAAGCCAATAGCTTAGCAACGGCGAGTCATCTCATATAGATTGATTGCCGATGTGGATCATATCAAATAGATATCGAAGTTGAGTTTTTTTTGTTATATTTCTGTGTACCGTATGTAATATTCAATGAATTTAACAACAAAACAATTCAAACGTTCAACAGGGTTTAGTAATGGTAACTAAGTGATTTATAGTTAACTAATGCTCGGGTCCTTTATTCAACGAATGGCTGTTAGTTACATAGCTTCGTGACTTTCAAAACGACTTGTAGATAAAAGGCGTGTACGCCGGGTTCCTATATTAATAAAACGAGGCGTTTTCCTTACGAGCCGTTGCATTACCTACGGAAATGCCGTTTCTAGCGTTTTTATCCAGTCGTTAAGTAATTCTAACGGGTCCTTTTGATATAGGAACGAACATAAGGCCAATAGTTTTACTACTACTGATCCAAATGAGCGAGGAGAAAGAAGGTTCTAGATTGGATACTAATTTATTTAATCTCGCATGACATAAACTATTCGTCGACTGGTAGGGAATGCCTTTGGGCTAGAAGTGGGCGGAACAAATCGTATAAAGATACGAAAACTATATATTGATACAATATCCGAAAATAGCTTACTGGCTCGTTCAAAATCTATGTATTTTACAATATCTGATATTTCCGAAATCTGATGTACCGAAT